CTCTAATCAGTCAGTACTGAGCACAAATAGAAGCTGAACTCAGATACAGACAGGAAATAATCTGGATACTTCACTTCTCAAGGTTAAATGAAGAGCATTCTTGAATCAATGCACCCCAGGTAAGCCTGAATGACTGCACACGATAGAGGAACCCAAGAACGAAGTTCAGGGAGTCTGCCAGTTAAAAACTCCAGCTGCAGGAAAATTCAATATATAAAAGAAACATCTTGTGCAGATGACAGGATGGGAGTTTGATAACAAACACCACATTTTATAGCCCAGATTTGCTGATGTAATGTTGGTCCCCACAGAAGTCTGAAGCCCAGGGCTTCAGCTGGAGGGGTGTAGAGGCTCAGGGCAGTTGACTTTAGGTGAGGAGGAGATGAGCCTGGAGTTAACACCTTCTCACAGCTCCCTGACAGCCACTGACACTGGCACAGCAAGGGCAAAAAAAATTAACAGAAAGGAAACCAAGCTGCTGGAGTCAAGGTGACCCAAAACTCACCTCCGTGCCCGGTTTTCTCTCCCGAGCATAAACAATTCTCTGTGTCTCCTGCGGCCCTGAAAGAGTATTTACGATTAGCACACTGACATCAGAGACTGAAATAGCCCACTGGGTTTCCTAACTGGGATTTTGGGAGGGGATTCTGCCACCAGCAGTCGTGCTGGCTGCACCCTTCTGCCTCCTGGCAGCTGCCAGCAGTGGCACAGAGCTGAACAGCACCAAGGCAGGGGTTTCATCACGAGACAGTGTTCCTCCTCACCTGCTTTTGAACGCAGTCTTGTCCCCAAAAAGCCACAGCTCTGATAAAAAGGAGTAATTAGTGCTGCTTCATGTGGCAGCGCAGACAGATGAATGAAGGCATGGAGCTATTTAAAGAATATTTCAGAGGGTTCTCAGGCAGGGAGGGAGTGACAGTTCAGCACAATCCCATCCCTCAAAACTTAGCTGAAGCTGGATGGCACTGAAGCCAAACAGGCTGTGACACTGCAAGAAGAGCCTGTTAAGCTGCTGCAGGCACTGACGTGTGACAATGACAACAGTGTTCTTTCACTCACAGGTCAGATTTGTAATGCATAAGGAACCTTCAGATTTTCTGGGGCAAAAGAGCCGTTTTTAGCCTATGTGAGATCAATCTTAGCACCTACAATTCAGCTGATCCAAACCTGTTTGTTGTATCTGCTGCTGGTTTTAAGGAACCTGGCTGGATTCGTGCCCTTGTGATGATGGCTGCCCATCACCCTCAGGGATTTCCTTACGGGGTTTTAAACTGAAGAAGGATCCATTTAAAGTAGATTTAAAGAAGTTTTTTACAATGAGGGTGGGGAGGCCCTGGCACAGGTTGCCCAGAGAAGCTGTGGCTGCCCCTGGATCCCTGGAAGTGTCCAAGGCCAGGTTGGATGGGTCTTGGAGCAGCCTGGGCTGGTGGGAGGTGTCCCTGCCCATGGCAGAGGTGGCACTGGGTGAGCTTTAAGGTCCTTCCACCCCAAACCATTCCGGGATTCCATGAGAAGTGACAAATCCCACAGCCCTGGAGAAAGCATAAGATTCCTCAATGTCCTTTTTTAGAACACAATGTTTGAAACAGGGAGGCAAACAACCCTCCCACCTCAAGCCCTGCCCAAACACTCACCTTCCAGTGGATGAGAGCAACCCTTGACACTGGTGGGGTTGTGTTGCTCCCACTGTGTTGCAGCGGCTCCACAAGAGGTTTGGCTTTGAATGGAGGGTCCAAACTACCCAGGACTCGTGTGATGTTGATCCAAGCATGCAGACCTGGAGTGTGGAGCTGCTCAGGAGAGCTCAGGCTGCAGGAATCACTGTTAGCATGGATGGAGCCTGACAGACCACGGTGACATTCCCACCTCCTCCCTCCTCCCCTGCCACCCACCACAAATCCCCCAAACCCACTGTTTCAGGCCAGAACACACTACAGCTCCACTTTTAAGACCTCCTTGGCTGAAACAACAATAAACATTCCCATGATGCAGTTTGCCACCTTAATTTATTGTCGTTCTTTTTCTTTACAGGGCAGACAGAGCTTTCAGTCTTTCAGAGCGAGGCTCAGAACCCAAACACCAACCAGGTCCTGCCACATCTCCTCCCCCAGTTTATTTTCAATAAACTGCTCAGTATTAGCACTGTCATGAGAGCGCTGCAGAGCTGCCAGTGTCGTCCTTGCAAATTCCTACATGCAAAACCTGAGTTTTTACCCCACCCTCTCCTCGAATTTTTTTTCAAGACCTCGTGATTTTAGTCAAGGGCAAAATTTCACATTTCATCAGCAGGCACGGGGGAGGTTAAAAATTTGCTGCAAAACTGTGAAATTCTACCTTGGGAGAAAAAAAAAAAGGCATAATTTCCTGAATTCACTGTGAATGAAATATCCTCATTGGTCCAGAGAAACAACACCATTTTGAACTGATTCTTTTTTGTGTTTTTTTTCTGCAAGAAAAACCAACTCCTCCACCCTCCAAAAAACCCTGTGTTTGTTATTTGAGGAAAAATGATAAAATCTGGTGCAACCCTGGGTTGTTTCTTGGTGGATATTTTTCTGCCACACCTTAGACTGGAATGGACCCTTCAGACAGAGCAGAGCAATATAAATCTGTGTGCTGTGGTCTCTTGGTTGAGTCACACATGTTATAAAACTTTAAAAATGGAGCATTTACAACCAGGGACGTAAAGACGTGCTTTTAAAATTATAAAATACATATTTACAGGCTCGTGTGATAAACCAGAATTTCTCTGGAGGGGGAAAAAAAATTGTTCCTATATCACAACAATGTACACACTTCCCTCCTTGAATCTGTCAGTTATTACAGTCAATACCACTCTAAAAAAAGCAGCAAAAATAAATTGCACAGCAGTAACCTCGTTGGTATGCCCTGAAGGCACTGAACTGGGCAGCATCCATGCCAGAATTCCCTACCTAATTTAACTGCCTGGAAGTTGAGTGGGGTCTGAGCAGAAGGGGTTGTTTAAAGCAGGGTTTGGGCTGCCTGGCATGAAAACTCTTCCTCAGCAGCAATCCTCAAGTGACCAGTGAATATTTATACACTAAGTGTGGTCTTTGATGAGGCTGCACTGGGAAAATCAATCCTAATCAATCAATCAATCAATCAATCCCCAATTACTCTTTAAGTCAGAGTATACTGGAGTTGGGTTTGTGAGCACTGTATATTCATTTTCCAAGTGATCTACATGCTGTGCAGGCACACAGGGAGGGAACTCCTGTTTGAAGGGACAGGGTTTACCACACTAATGGCACATGGTGAGAGAAAAGGTGGAGAGAAAATAAAAAGACAATGAGCAGAACTGAAGTGAGGCAAACTGTGCACACCAGCTGCTGGGAGATACACATAAGGCCAGGAAACTTAAATTTTTGTGCTATTTGACCAAAATTCACCAAGCTGCCCAGCAGATTTGGGTACTCACTTCCGACTGCTCGAAATGAATAACGAGAACCTCATCGTCCCAAGGCTGCTGGGGAAAAATCTCAGCCCCTCCTTTGGAATTACTAAATCATGTTATTTCAAGAGGAACTTTATTGCCAGCAAAAAGCTGTTCCAAAGGGAACAAATCCTGGAGACTCTCCACTCCAGGAATGGGACAGAGCAGCCAGCAGTGGCCTCACAGCCTTGGACTGGAAGTGTCACCTCCAGCGTGGAAGGGGATGCAGCTTTTTATGGCTCAACTCGTTCTCAGCACCTCAGCCTTGCCCCAAACCACAATTGCACTTAGAAAGCCTCCAAGAGGGGTTGGTTCATCCAAAAAATCTGCTGTGAGATAACACAAGGCCCTGAAAGGCCTTTTCTTTCCAACTCAACATGTTTTTACAGTGAACAAACCCAATGTTTCTTCTTTAAAGCTTTTGTATTTGCTTCGAATAATTTGATTTTTGTCAAAACTATACAAAATTAACTGTTCTCAGCAATTTTATAGATATATATTAATATCTGTCATATATGTATATGAAGCTCCATGTAAAAATGAGCCTTTTTTTGACTCTTTCAGGTTGGTGGGAGGGAGAATCAACTGGGCACTTGGTTTTTTTTAACTAACCTGTGCATACACAGATCTGTGCTTATCTGTGTGGAGTGTAAAGACAAGGACAGGAGTAAACTGGCTGAAACAAGAGGGAAATAGGGCAGAAATAGTCCCAAACCTGCATACCACATTTCCAGGGATCCTGGAAAAACCTGTCCAGGCTTGGAAGTGAACTGGGCAGAGACACCCGTGTGAGATGATGCACCTGGGTGTGATTGTCACCATTTGGGGGCAAGAAACAGGTAACAGACTTTCTGCCCTGCATTTTATCACCTGATCCCTCTGTTTCTGGAATTTATCTTTACTGGCTGCCTTCGTGGATTCCCTCTGGACAGGACCACTGGAACTGGACATGCATTTGCAGAGTCACAACAAACAAAAGCCTCCTAATTAAGGACAAGTGTTGTATTTAAGGACAAATGTTGCTGTAGTTAAGGACAAGTGTTTCCTGATAGTGCACAGAAACACCTGTGTTTGTTACTCTCACTAAATAAATAAATAAATCCTGACTGGCAACAAAAGTAATTGCAGCTTTTGGGAAATGGATGCAATAATTCCCTTTATGAAACTGGGCTGTCAGTGCATTCACAGCTAGTCATGTAACAGGTGGTCTTCCCAAAAAACGTGGGTCCTGATGCACTTCAAAGCCAACAGCATCACACCCATTAAAGCCAATGGTACAAAGGGACTGGGGTGTCCTCAGACTTCAAAAGTGGAACCCTCAGCCAAACCCTGCCACTCCCTTCAGTGTTTTTTTTTGTGGGGTGCCCAGTCCTTTACCGGCTGGGATGCAAAGTAGAAACTAAAATGATGTAGCAGTCCTTTCAGGATTTAATTGCATAGTATGTCAAACCCCTCTGTGCCCTCCCAGGAAGAGGAGGCTCACCCAGACCCACCCACCCTCTGAAAACAAGGACTTTGCCTGGAGATCCCCCTCTTCCCAGCACCCACAGTTCACCACTCTCCAGAAAAGGCAGGATCTGCTCTGTGCTCTTTCCTTTGGAAGGATGAAATGACTGGAGTGCTTCCAGCAGAAGAAACCGCTGTCCCTGTTGTCTGTCCCACCTCATCCGAGCAAAGGCAGGGGAGGATAATGCTGGAGGGATTATTTCACCTCTCCTTTTCCGGTCAGAAGTTCCTGAAAATACACAGAGAGTTGCATTTAATCAGAGACAGCTTTAAGATGAGTAGTCACAGTACCTGTCCCATCACGTGGAGCTGAAGCAGGACAAGTCATTCAGCAAGTGCTGAGCAGGGAAGGGATGGCCAGGATTTAATTTTCCCACAGCTGAATGGTCTGTGCCAGTTAGGGGTGTTAACATCTCATTAGCCACCACTCCCATTATTCAGGAGGCAGTAAACTTCACCACTTCACTAACTTTCCCCCCTAAATGTTATTTTTTTTTGGAACACATTTAAGAAAGATTTTGCTGGTACCCATTCTCACCTTCAGCTTTACACGTGTTAGGTACCGTGTTCCTTAGCTCTTACATCAGTATAAAGGAGATTATTATCTGCATGTTAATGGTGGGGAAATGAAGGAGCAGAAACCAGTGCCTTGTTAAAACCAACAGTAAATCGATTCAGCCTCACCAATACACCGGGCCAGGTCATTAATTTGCCCCCGGCCCGCAGAGCTTCATTACAGAGTTTATCTCACAACCCAACTGACGTTTTTGCATGTTATCACAGCACTGCAATTTGCATTGCAATGCTGCTCTTTGAGCTCCTGGCAGGCCACCAAAGCAGGAAAGCACAACACACATGCCAGATATCCTTTTTTTAATTGAGTAGAGTGAATACTCAGCCTGACAGGTCTCAAAGCACTTGACCCACTACTATGACCGGATACAAATTCTGTGATGGGGATAAACCCCGTTCTTACAAACCATCTTCAAGCTCCCCAGGATCCAGAGGAGAAACACCTCAGGCCTTAAAAGATCATAAACAAAAGAAAACTCTCCTTACACTTTCCACGAGGCTAAAAACCCACTTTTAATCCAGAAGCACCCATGACTAGAGAAGAGCTTGTTCCTTGTGACCAGCTGCGAGAGCAAGGACACTGCAGGTGTCACATCTGCAAAGTGCTCTGCCACTCCTTGCCCATAGGAACAGTGGAATGGTTTGGGGACACAGAGAGGTGAGCCCTGAGCATCCTCCCAGCGCTGCTGTGTACCTGGTTTGGTGGGATGTGCCGAGGGCTCTCTATTCCTTGGAGCAGGAGGTGCAGCCGGCTTTCCTGCATTGCCTGGCGCTGGGGTTATGCGAGGAGGAGGAGGGACATCTAGAGGCCACCCGGAGCCTGTAACTGCACAGAGAGGCAGAAAAAAACTCACACAACAGGGATCAGAAACACGCTTTAGGGCCCTACAGAGGCTTTAGTCGGCTGTGAGGAAAGAAAACTACATTCCACCCACACTGGAAGCACCAAGAGCCACTTCTGAAGGCAGGAGGGGATTTTTTTGGGGTTTTTTGCCTAATTCTGAACTTTCTCCATGAGTTTATTTATGCAGGGAACAGACAATGTCAACTGGAAGCAGCTCCAGCCTTCCCCCCACACACATCCCCAGACCCTCCAGCTGGGATGGACAAACCCCCAGTTACGTCAAGAACTAGAAGAGTCTGTTTTCTCAGGATAGTCCATGTCAGGTTTTAAAATACATATTTATGGACAAGCAATTATTTCACACCAGAGTGCCACCACATCTGGTCACTTCTGCCCAGCTCAGGGTCTGCAGAACAATTCTGTCCCCACTGCACTGGTGACAAGGACACTGCAGGTCACTACAGTGCCTTTACTGCAGAGAACTTATTCCACTTCACATTTTAAACTAAACCCCAAGAATCCCCAAAGTGAAAGCGAAACCCAGAGATTTTACCTGCGAAATTTTAATTTTACACCCCCGTCAGCTGTGATTTCAAGGAGAAAAGCCTGACAACGTGACTCAGAGCAAAAGGAAGCTGAAAGGTTTCTACCCTGTTCTAAACACACGATTTCAGTTCAAATGGAAAGCCAAGCTAAACTTCCTCACACTAAAAGATTGATAAAAATCCCCTATTTGTTTTTAAATTCAGCATTTTTTCCTGTCGTGCACATACTTGTCTGCTCCCCCTCACACCTGTGCACCCCCCCAGGTAATTACACACCTTCCTTCTCCAGGCAAATTCTTCCAAATTCCAACCAGACCCCAACTACTTAAGTTCTTCCAAGGGAACATCTCTTGAAATATAATTTTTTTACATGGCAACGTGTCTAAAATAAAGTTAAAAGCCAGGTTTTTCTCAAGGTTATTTTTAGAGGTCTGTATACACCCTTTAAAGGAGATGTCACTTAGTTTGTGCTTACACAGTGTAAGACATAAAGAAGTGCAGAATTTTCCATTACAACAGAAAACCAAAGCCACAGAAATTTTGAAAAGTGAGCAATTCAATTATTTCCCAATTAAAATCGGTGGTTAAAACTCTCTGCCAAAAGTTTTGTTATTGTTCTGGGTAAATCAGCCTCTCCAGCCCTTTGTGAATTCAATCCTAAAGGATTCAGTGTGGAAGAACCAGAAAGTGGTAATGGGGAGGTCAACAAAAGCCAGATTTTTGTTGTCCCATATAAGGACTGTTACCAAGGGAAACAGCAGAATATCCAAAATAAGTTCAGTTTGTTTGGCTCCAGTTCTTTACTATAACTAGAAGGGAGAAATTTTAGTCCCTTTCTGTTTAAAACGTTTCCATGTAAGTAATGCTTTCTGTCAAAATATTAATTATCATTTGTAAAAGATCTTCTATAATCAATAACATCCATATTTTAGTGCAGGCAACGAGGCAGTGCCTGGATCCTGTGAGAAACCTCAAGGAAAAAAAAAATATTTAAAAAGCCTAAAATCCAAAGAGACAAAATTATTGGGGAAAATCCACCCTGAATTTTCAAATGCACATCTCAATCAGATATTAGGAAGGAATTCCTCCCTGTGAGGGTGGGCAGGCCCTGGCACAGGTTGCCCAGAGAAGCTGTGGATGCCCCTGGATCCCTGGAAGTGTCCAAGGCCAGGTTGGATGGGGCTTGGAGCAACCTGGGCTGGTGGGAGGTGTCCCTGCCCATGGCAGGGGGTGGGAATGGATGAACTTTAAGGTTCTTTCCAACCCAAACCATTCTGGGATTCTGTGACCTTTGACCCCTAATTTCATCAAGCTTTAAAGCTAAGAGATCATGCTTTATTCTTGGGAACTTGAGGATTAGAGGAACAAGATAAAAAGGGATTGCTTTTCTAAATAGGAAGTCAAACTGAGTTCTTTATGGAGCTCTTATTGCTGCCTTTCCATTCTGCTCCACCAAAGCCATCAGGAATCAGTGCCCTCCTCTGTACCAACATCCCACTGAAGGGGATTGATAACTCTCATTTGAGGAGGTTGTTTAAAGGAAAGCAGGAATGCCTGGATGAATCCAGACCAACTCTGGGAGCGCAAGGCGAGCTCATCTCCGAGGGGGATGGGGAGCCGAAATCCCCTCCCCTGCGTCAGGGACAGGGATTGAAATGGGTATTTTTAGCACTGTCACTTTGCACCTGCTTTCACCATCTCAGCGCTGGGGTAATTGGAGACAGGCAAAGAGGAGCAATTCGCAGCCACCTTGAGCAGTGAGGGCTCCCCCCGGGAAGGGGCGAGGGTTGCACCCCAACCCATCCCAGCCCTGAGCACAGCCCTGACCAACAGCACAGCACAGGCTACCCCAGCCCTGCCAAAACCACTGCTGGGAACAGCCCTGGCCAAAAAAAAAAAAAAAAAAAAAAGGAATAACATCAGAAAACACACTCTGCTTGCAAAGCAAAAAGGCCCAGAAACCAAATGTTAGGTGGCAGGAAGTTTTCTCTGTGAACTAAGGACTTTTACATCAGGATGAATAGTTTGGTAGATGCACCAGCTACTCCATAAATTAAAGCTAAGCCAGAAGTTAAATGAGGCTATTTTTTCACACATAGACAGGGCCTAAAGCTCTCTCTGAGAGCACACCTTTACTAAAAGAGATAAATCACCAAATTCACTGAGACTTGCTACAATGAAACTACACTAAATCCCAGCTCTTCCAGTCTTCCATCCTCGGATCTGAAAGCGTTTTGCAGTGTGAGTCAGTACCATAATCCCATTTTTCAGTTCCAGAACTGAGTCAGACGGAAAGTGATTTGCCAAGGTCGCCCCGACAATCTGCAGCTCAGAGCAGAGCTGGGAACAAAGGTTTCCCCACCACCTGCTTCCCTGTTACCAGATTAAAGTCTCTCCAGAACACTCAAGTACTTGTCCAAACCAAATTCCTACTCTCATTCCCTTCCCAGGCCCCCGAGCCTTGCCATGAGCAGCACACAGGAACTCCAAGGCCAGCAAAAATGCCAAATCCCGGCACACCCCCTTCCCTCAGACATTCCCGAAATACATTTGGTATTTTTTATGCAAATTACCTTGTCCTGTACCACACTCGTGCCATTAACACTCTGCCAGGTTGCCAGTTTGGTCCTCTAGAAACGCCCAAGAAAAAAACAAGGCATGTTATTTGTGGGAACGAAGAGGGGAGCGAGCTGAGGTGGCCGCTGGTCACACCAAGAAATCCAGGGAATAAAGTCAGGGCTGCATGTGACAAAAATTAGGGCATTCAGGTTCACAGTTCAACCCCAAATGATGTGGGTTTTTTCGTGCACAGCTTATACTTCTACACTCCTAATCTACATCACGGCAGAGACAGATCCTGTCAAGGGTTAAACAGTATCTAAACTGACACAAATCGTTGACTGCCTAGGAAAAAACAAACAAACAAACAACAAAAAAAACACACATAGAAATATGGATGTTTAAGCCTAAATTCTTGGCTTTGCAGAATTAGGCTGAGCGATTTCACAGGTCAGAAGGCAAATGGGAGGGGTTTGAGGTGGAGGGGGAAATGCCATTTCTGGGCTTTCTGCTCTCAGTGAGGTTTAAACCATCGTGCTGCTGCCCTGACTGGCATGTTCTCTCTGGCACTAACATATTGCTTAATGGGAAATTAAATACACAAAACAAGGGCTTGGAAAAACGTTAAAAACATCAACCACCAGCGAACAGATTTTTGTCTTGTTTTAGTGAAACAAAATATTTGGCAAGACAAAAAGGTTTGTGGACAGAATTTCATTGAGGGGGATGGCTCCCTTTTCTATGGGAGAGTCCTGCTCCTGTGTATAAAAACTGGGGACAGCAGAGAGCAAAAAGGATCTTAATGTGCTGTAGTGTGGATGTTTGGAGACTTACTTGTGTTTATTCATGAAAGAGCTGCAGCAAGTCAGGATTTTATCTTTCCATCACGTAGTGCTGAAGGACATAACATGAATATGATGATTTTTATGGTCAGGCCTTTCATGAATCTAAACTGGAAAAACCTGTTACTGAGATCCTTTGCATTCTCAGCTTCCAAGAAGACACCCTAACAGCACCTCCAACCACAGCGCTTCAAAGAGATTCATGCCTTTAAAGCAGCATTGCTCCCCCACAAGAACTCCAAAATTGCTTTGTTTCCTGCATGTGCTCTGAGAGTTCAAGTTTTTTTCGTTGCTGACTTAGTTCCACTCCCAGCAAAATCCTGCTCCAGAGCACCAGGAGCTCTGGGGATGAACACCAAACCAAAAGCAAGGAGGAATCTCACACCATGCCCACAACTCATCCAGGGGACTCTAAAATTGATGTATCAGTACCCATATTACTTAAATATAACTCCATTTTTGAAAGCAACCAGTGATCTAAAGCAGCCACTTGGAAGGAACCCAGCACTGAGGATTCCTCTGTGGAAGAATTCTCCTGAGCTCCTCCAGAAAAATCAGTCTCCTTGAAGGTACTCAAAGAGATTATCAGTCACTTTAAGAAATCCTGGCCTGGGTCTATAAATTTAGATGAACAGTATCATGACAGCAATTTATCTTCCTGCCCTTTTAAAGCAGCACAGGGCATTGTGTGAGCCAAAAGGTGAAGAATGTTGGATTAAAAATAGCAGTACTCAAACCCATCTTCTACCCTGTCAGGGAATCCAATTTGGTAAAAAGTTGGTATGTGCTGAATCACATCCATACCAGAACGAGAGCACTTTCATCACACCCAGGGAACACTCTAGTTGGTTTTATTTAGCTTTAGACAGAAATGGTGACTCCAAAGGAGTTCAAAATGATTGCTGAAGGGCAGCAGCACTAGGATGACCCCTCTGTCCTGCACATCTCATGACATAAAAAAAGAAACCACGGAACAAAATGTGCTTTAGAGTGAGAGCATTTGCCACAACGAATGGAGAAAACAACTCCAAACTCC